TAAGAATCCTAGTTAAGGATATACCTTTGTCTGTTCGGGATGAAGAAATTAATGATGCCTTAAAAAAAATTGGATGCAAAATCCAAAGAGAAATACAATTTATTAAATTTCGAATCAATGGAAAGCTTTCAAGATTTCTAAATGGAGACAGAGCAGTTTTTGTGCAGCCATTCAAAGGAAGTCTTCCGAGAGTTCTTAAGATAAATAATTTCAATGCGAGAATCTTCCATAGAGATCAGAAAGTACAAAGTAAACGACTGCCCGACGAAGGTAAAAAGCACGGTATGTCATAAGTGCAATAAACCTGGTCACAGGGCAAATACCTGCAACAAAAGCATAACAGATCATTGGATAGACTCGGAGATTGAACCAGAATCTGAAGATATAGTGACGTGTGACCTCCTGAGCGATTCTGAATCGAGTGATGGGGAAGTACAAAGCGATGCTTGCAAAAATACAATTGGAAGAAAAGAATCAGTTAAAGATAAACCAATAGATAACACACAAAATGTCATTGGTATTCTAGAGGACCTACTCAACAAACCTGCCAACCCAGGTAGTGACCCAGATTCATTTGAGTTAGATGAGAGGGTCCAACAGATAATAAAAGTCGCAATTAATAGCGTAAAAAGTATTAACCAAGAAGAGCGCTCATCTGCAGCTGTTCCTAAAGGATTCACTGTTAGTAAGAATGAGAAAAGGAAGCAAAAAAAGCGGGGAAAAAAAACAAGCTGAAAAAATTCGAAAAAGAAAAACTTAAAAATTCTGAGAAGAATACGGAAGGCATGAGGCCAATTACCGATTTTGTTAGTGCTGGTAGACCAGATATAACCCCAGATGAAAATACTGATGCGGGGATTGCTACTTCTGTGGGGGAAAGTGGGGAAAAAATGCAGAGAAGGAAAAGAAATCGGAGTCTATAAGTTAGAATAAGGCTTACTTCTATATGTACGATTAGTAATATGTTTCTGACTGGTCTTTAGTAGTGTAGTCTGCATTTAATATCCTTAAATGTCAGAGGTTTGAGAGATAACCATAAAAAACGAAAAAGTTTTAAATGGTTAGAAGAACAAAATGTAGATATTGTTTTGCTACAAGAAACACACTTTGATAAAGCATCAGTAAGTTGTCTTTCTAAATTTTGAAAAGGTGAAGCATATCACAGCTTCGGATCAAGCAATAGTAGAGGTGTTTCGATACTGTTTAAAACAAGTTTTGACGCCCAAAACATCAATTATAAATTTGTAGATGGAATGGGTAGGAATATAATTGTTAGTCTAATGTATAAAGATAAAGCAAAAAATAATATATTAAAATTATTGAGTAGTTTAAAAAATGAATATAATCTAAATCCAGAGCTTCTGTTGGAGTATCTGAAAGTGAAAATAAAAGAATACACATGTAAATATTGTGCAAGAAAAGAAAATAGGAAAAAAGGTAAAAAAAATAGATTACTTAGAGAAGTCAATGTACTTACAAATAAGTTAAACATTTTTTACGATAAATATATAGAATCTGTTTTAAGAAGTAAGACAAAAGAATTAGAAGGTATCTATGAGTCTTGCGTTCGAGGAGCACAAATTCGCTCAAGAATACAATGGTTCGAAAAGGGTGAAAAAAAACAATAAATTCTTATTAGGGCTAGAGAAAAGCAAGGAAAAAAGAAAACACATCACATGTGTACTAAAATAAAATGGTAAATACACGTCAAATATTGGTGATATGTAACGCTCTAAACTATTCTTATAAAAATAATACGTTAAGTACTACTCAAAGATTGGGAATAATTAATTTACTATTCAAAAGTGGAGAAAGAGAAAAGCTCACCAACTGGAGGCCTATTACATTATTAAATGTAGACTACAAAATTATGGCCCACGTCCTTTCTGATAGATTACAAACAGTTATTTGTTCGATTATTGATTATGATCAAAAAGGCTACATTACTGGGAGATTCGGTGGTGAAAATGTAAGATTAGTAAACGATATTCTTTTTTACTCAAATAAACACTTAAAACCCGGTGCAATGATCATTTTAGACTTCGCAAAGGCATTTGACTCAATTGATAGGAATTTGATGATTAAAGTGCTTGAAAAAATTGGGTTTAGTAAATCTTTTCAAATTTTGAAAGGTGGATAAGCACAATATACACAGACACAGAATGTATAGTTACAAATAACGGATGGAGCTCAGATCGTTTTAATATGCAAGGTGGTGGTAGACAAGGATGTCCACTTTCGCCTTTATTGTTTACAGTAGTCGTGGGAGTTATGGCCGAAAATATTAGTGCAAAGGCTTTGTATTGCCTTGCCAAATTGTATATTTGTATTGTATTTATTTTTAAGGATTGGCCTAATTTTTTACTGCAATATACATTAATACTGTATTTGAATTAAAGATTATTTAAAAAATAAAATTGATGTTAAAATAACAAAATGATCCAAATGAATATGAAATTATCAAACTGTAAACTGTAAAATGTTATTGCAACCAACCGATTGAAGTTTAATAAAAAAAAAGATTAAAATTGGAATCCTTAATCAGATTTAAGAAGAAGAAGAAGAAAAAAACCCTTTAATATCACATCAATAGGCAACGAGGAGTTCAACTGTACAGGGGTGGGTCATCTAAGATTCTTCCTGCGGCTGGACCCCACTTTGTCTTGGCTGTAATCCCATATGGTAGACTTCACCTAGACTCAAGACTCCACCACATTGATAACCTTCAGAGGCTTCATCATCATCTATTGTCGGTTCACTGCTGGACAAATGTTTCAGGATGCAGGCGCGTCGGAAACAATATTTATTGGTCCGGCCATATCCAACAATACCCACTCCCCACCACTCCCCCCCCCCCCAAAT